CACTAAAAGTGAAGTTATCTCGCTTTCGAAACGATCCAAAGCTATAGCGCAGGTAAGCGTGAGAGTCAGGCAAATGTGTGTAATAATAGTGGCGCACGCCGTTTGCCATTGGCCGGGACTAATTAAAATAACTTTATAAAGTGTGCGTTAAGTTTTAATATTGCGCACGGTCTTTTATTGCCGTGTAGCGCGAGCCGAAAGTTTACAAAGTACATTCGATCCTTTCTGGCGTGTGCGCCCTCGTCCCCAGCATGTAAAGTACGCAAAGAATGTTTATATTACTACTCGGGCGCCGAAAGCGCGTAAAGTTCAGATTGTATCTTCGGCGGGTGCGAGTTCACCCATGAATTTACCCAGGTAGAAGGCTATGCTAATGCACTTCAATTACAGAGTGCAATTGATTGAAGAAACTCGTGAGTTGCGGAGTTTATAGAACTAACTTTAAAATAACTCAATAGACTAGTTTTCGATAATTACAAGGGTTCTGAATCTGAATTTCAGCGCAAAGATGTGATTTTTTTCCGTTCAGTTTTATTTATTTATTTGGAGGTCCTCGCGGCGGATGGTTTAGTTGTGTAATTTCGGTAATAGTTTAGAGTGCACCAAACGAAAAATTTATTATAGCCGAATTGGATTTATGCTCCCGGCGTTCGTTACTTCATTCGTGCGCTCGTGTTTATCTTTTTTATTTCATTTGGACGCTGCCCAGCTCGGCTGTAACTTTGGATCTCCCGACTGCGGAGATTCTTAGTAAATTTCGTCGTTTCCGGTTTGCGCGCAAGCCATTCCATTCAATACGTGCGTCTATCTATCTTGCGAGCGTTAGTTTGTGTTAGTCGCCCCGGCGCAAACTTGGAGAAGCAGAAGAAATGCCTCCTCGCATTGGTTTAGTGCGGTCGGGCTTTAATCGCGTTACGACTTTCGATGCGTCTTTGAAATCTTTGTTGGCTCCCCGAGATGCGCTTTTGGCTTTTATTGTTTTATATTGCATTTTCACAGATTCACAATTTCAGCCGAGCCTTTGATCAAAAATTAAATTCTGGATATTTCTGTGATTGGAATTGGCATCGTAAGACGATATCTCAATACGCGGTTGATCGAGCAAATGGGTCAGAAAATTCCGAGTTTTTAACCAGGAGAAAACTCGCACACGAGTTTCGAAGAAGGAAGTGGGGTGGTTAGTTAAAGGCTTCGCTCATAAATAGTTAAGAACAGCCTCGGCCATGCGGAAGAACCGTAAGTAAACCGTTAACGTGCACACGCACCACCATTCCCGACCGCGCCAGGACGAGAACGAAATAATACCGAAAGATACATAAAGGAAAGAAGCAATCGAAGGACCTTTTGTTATCTATCGAGGCGATCGAAGGATCTCAGGATTCGAGAAGACTAAGCAAACCGCAAGCGCACACGTGGACGCAATGGAAAACTAAAAGAAAACGAGCAAAAAGGAATCTTTTTTCGATTCCGAATGAATGAATGAATGAATTGCTAAGAAAGGCGCAAAGAGCAACCACACGACCAAAAGAACAACTTTTCCAGCCGGGACACCACGGAATCCTTAAAATTTCCAACACAGGGTGATTGCTATTGCTGGGAAAACTTCTTTGTGGCGTCCACGCTTGAAAAGTTGTCACTTCCTCCGGCGTTGACCACACTTTACGGGCGCCACGCAAAGCCGGGCTTTTTAAACTTTAAAATTTCACTTTGAACCGCTGGTGCAGGAGTTTGCCCCCCGGCCAGTGGTCACCGGGTTTATGTATGCGACGCTCGTTTCCAATCTCGTTTCGGGTTCGTATTGCTTGTGGCGGAAGACACAATTCGAAGATTCGTGACAGATTCACGATTCGTGGAGCAAAAAGGTTTTTTCAATATATTCGTGTGCGACTTGTGAGAAATACGGACCTCAAATATTCTATTAGATATCTCAGCGTACAATGAAAACGAACACGAGCTGAAAAGGAGCTGAGCAAAAACGCGTTCTCGGAAGAAAGCACGAATTGCATTCTATTTTATTCCAGGTTGGCGAGGAATTGTCGGTGGCAAGCGAGGTCGGTATTGAATGTGAACCGAATCGGATGCAACGCTTAGAAATCGTGTCAAAAACATTCTAAACACAACTATCAAAATTTGTTCACTTTGTACTTACAATGTTCATGATGTGCTGCGCTCTCGTCCAGTGAACACTGCACAAACACATGTCGCACTTTGTTCTGAGGTTAGATTATGCAAAATTTTATTTACAAAGATTATGCGTAAACCGCTATAGTCTGAATGATAATTTATATATCAAATGAAAGAGAATCAAAACTACGAATGATATACACTAATCTATATTAATACTTTGTCCGATATCACAATTAAAATTAAGTCGGAAGACGCACACCGCGTGCACCGTTTTACCGCGTACCCGTCGATAGCCATAAACAAACCTGCTGCACACAGGTCACGTAGGGGAGAGCAGGTAGGATTCGTACAGTAGGAGCATTCGTACAGTCCTTATTCCTACCACTGTAGAATACTTTGACAGGTCTGTGTTTGTGTGCGTGAGACCCACTCGCACGCATAGGTTACTCGCGGGGTGAGACGTCACGGTTATTTTTATTTTCGATATTAATTGTTTTTTGGTGTTGGGGAACCTTCGTACAGGTAGGGGTGGGGTAGATTCGTACGTGTACGAATGCTCCCGTGCCTGACTGGACATTTAAATGTATCTATTTTTCAGTAAAATCTAATATTGTTACAGAACCATGCCGCGAATATATATTAAAAGGGGACGAGGACGGGAGAGGTAGATGAAGGTGCAATAGAATCGGCGATAAAAGAAGTTTTGGATAAGACATTATCTATTAGAAAATCTGCACAAAAATATGGCGTCAAACCAACAACACTCGAAAGTCGTCTGAAAAAGTTTCATCAACAAGAAGCTGCCGAAAATATGCCTACCCGTGCGTTCACTTCCAAGTTTACGTCAAATCAGGTGTTTTCAACTGAGGAGGAAGCCCTTTTAAACAATTACATTATTGAATGCTCCAAAATGCACTACGGTCTGACGATCATCCAGGTCAGAAAATTGGCATATGAGTTTGCAAAAGCCAATCAGCTTAATTTTCATCCGAGTTGGCATCATAATAAAATGGCTGGTAAAGAATGGTTGGATAGTTTCCGCAGGCGAAACGGAAACCTGAGTCTTAGAAAGCCTGAAAATACCAGCGCCGCTAGATCATTTGCTTTTAACAAGACTGCTGTAACTGATTTTTATAATAACCTTGAAAAGGTTCTAACAAAGTACAAATTTACTTCAGATCGTATTTTTAATTTTGATGAGTCCGGAATTTCCACAGTGCTGAGCACACCTAAAGTTTTAGCTGAAAAGAATCAAAAACAAATAGGCCAACTTGTGTCAGCAGAGAGGGGAGAACTAGTTACATTTGGAGGAATAATTTCAGCTAGTGGTAATACAATTCCACCACTATTTATCTTCCCGAGGGTTCACTTCAAGGACCACTTTATGACAGGTGCACCAGAAGGAAGCCTGGGAGTTGCAACAAAAATGGATGGAAGCAAATGCATATTATATGATACCTATGAATACCTAATACTTTCGTACGATTTCCATTTTGGAAAACTGATCATAATTCTGTCTGTGTGATTTGTGACGGAGCTGTACCATACTATAATTATAGGCAGATATATAGGCTATATAGGGACATTAAACTTATTCGAATATATTATATAGTTTAGTTTTAATATGGCGTCAAGTAAAAATGTACGAATCCTACCTGCTCTCCCCTACGCATCCGAACTCCCACCAAAAAATAAGATTTGAGAGTATTTTATATTAAAGCAAAACTGGAATTGCGAGTTTTAGATTTAAAAATGATAACAATGTGGAAATAAAGTATCGACAAGCAAATAAATCACTAACGTTCGCATCAAGTTCGTGATTAATTTAAAACAAACGAAATAAATCAAAATAAGCGCAGACACGTCACAAGTTAGGCAAATCCGCGTAAAAATCTAAAGTTTTCTACCCCAATTCGTGCATTTCATTTTATTTCTTGTTTTGTTTGCGTCCCTGCGTAGTCGGTAGTGTTTTCTGGTTTTAAAGTTGCGGTTCGGAAAATTCCCCTCAGAATGCTCGAAAATGCTGAAACTTTTTTCGGTTTTGCTACTTCACCGTAATCTATTTCATTTATCTTATTTATCTGCCTTCCTATTCTAAAATAAAAACTTTTTTGTGCTTTATAGCAAAAAAGAAACTCAATAATGATCGGTTGTTTTAAGATTCTAACATATTGTTTAATAGATGGCGATGCTTGGTACTTCTTGTGAGTTTTATTTATCTTTAACCCTAATTTTTCGCTCTGAGCCTGCACTTATCCGAGATTTTGATTCCGGTCCCTTGTTATGCGTTGCTTACTTTACGAACTTGCTTCCGGAAAGTTTGCCGCCTTCATAAGCTTTCATCCGAGAATTTTAATTGGCAAAAACGAAACTAATTAGAAATTCAATCAATTACAAAGAAGCGCGACGCGCCGCCCGCGCCGGGACACAAACAAGCACGGGGAGAAAACACGGAATAAATTCTGCGTTTGCCAAATTGGAGAGTTACATCTCGCGGCGCTCGTTGCTAACCGATATCGGCGGGCGGATGACGGCAACGAATACAAATTGGAAATTTAATAAAGTTCAAGAGTTTGCCCACTCGCCCCTTCTCCCCACCTCCATATCTCGTCGATTCGCATTATTGCAGTGGGCTGAAATTTGTATTTCACATTTACATTTCGATGTTTCAATATTTCAATTTCCGGTCGGGATCAAAGGTTTGGAATAATTAATAACCTCGAACCGAAAGCGGAAAACACCGAACAAAATAAACCGGATGCTGTTCCGTTACCATGATGCACTTACCTTCCACTTAAAAAAAACTACCGATAACAGCGTCATCTGGCGGAGAGGGTGTCGGCAGATTGAGGGTTGTATTAAAACACCAGCGGTTAAATTTTTAACAGGAACGTACGTTTATTTTTGCACTGAGCGGAAATACAAGCTATGCGTACGAAATCTCTCGGCCGACTTATTTTCATCATCGTAATCATCATCACCATTCATCTGCTTCATTTTGTCTGTCTCCTCACGTCACTCGGATGTCGCACATTTATAATAATAATTATAATTAATGTAATAATAATAATAATTTGTATCCATCTTCGTTCTTTCATCGTCTTCGTCATCCTTCATCTCATCATCGTGTGTATCAATGTCATTCATCTTCGACATTGTTGTTTCTTGGTTGGTTAAGTTTCTTGTTTTTTTCTCATTTACAGTGTGAGTGGTAAAAATCGAATAATCGAATCGAAAAATCGAGTGTGTAATGCGTGTATGTGTGAAGAAAATGTTCGTTATCTTGATATAATCGTACACCTAGAACAACTGACATGACGATTTCGAATGAATAATATACACAGATAGTGAACTATAATTACATTTACATATCATATTCTCGATTTTCGATTTTTTTCACGCTCTCGTCATTGATCATCGTTTGTGTTCGCACATTGTCAGCTATCGACAGACAGACGGCGCCAGCAGTTAAAATCTAGATGGCGTCATGTGTTTCGATGTTCATTCTGTGCATTGCCAACGGCCTTAATAAATAACATTTTATTACGGAAACACTAAACACAAAAGCGTAAAATAAATTGAATAAAAACACTGAAATCGTTTCAATGGCGAATGCAATATTGACGTAATTTCATATATGGCACTAAATACTTTTTTAAATTAGAAATATTATGCTTACATAGGACAACTTTGGTGTACTTATCGTTACTAACAATAATATTTTGTTGTCCGCTGGCAATGAACAGAAATCAATGTATTTGTTTATCATTTCGATAAAATTCACGTGTATGGTTTCTCACAATGTTTAGTTTGTTACATTAATGTCACATTTACAATCCCTTACGAATTCCGTTTGTTTATAACAAAAATAAGTTACAAAAAATATGAATTATCTTACAAAACTGTTGTACAATTTGCGTGTGTGAGTAATAGGAAGAAAAGTTTCAAATAGGAATTATCATGAATTACTTGACTATTTTCCGTACGAGCAAATGATACCAATCAGTTTATTCTTTATTTAGGTATTATTAGGTAGTAAAACTACTGTTATCTTCGTTTGTTTGCTCATCGCGTGTGTGAATGAATGTCATTATTGTTAAATGTATTCATCTTAGCATTATCAATGACAATCGTAGGTTTGGTTTGTCGGTGATGCTCGATCGCTCGTTTTGAACATATAAAACTGTACAAAAATCAATTCCGCACCTCACAGTTTGTGTTGATTTATTTTTACTTGTATTTTATTCATTATAGGTTACTCGTTACGCTTCATCATTAATTTAGGTAATTAAGAGGGTGGTTTTTTTTCATAAAGGGATTCGTGAACATCAAGGTGAATTTTACTTTACGCGCATAGGTTTGCATTCAATAAGTCGATCTTCTGATATCATTTCATTCGAAATTATTTGAATGCGAATTCTGACCGAAATGAAATCTGCAACTGTTTCTCAATTATGCGTTGAACTTTGACGTTGAACTGGATTTTTAAGTGCAATATCAAATGTCAAGTCGCTAAAATTGCTTGACTTGTGTTCTTGGAAGATATTTATGGAGTTTTTCGCGTCAAATTTCAAGCAGGTTCAATTTAGTTGTTGCCGTTTAAGTTGATAAGTTGTTAGCTGAATTAGAGAATATGAATGAACGACAGAATCGAATCGGAATCGAAAGAGTCTCAAATTTATAATCATAACAAAGCATGCAGCTGTACAAAATGCATCATTCTTCTGCCATCTCGTCTGTATCATCATCGTCATCATCGTCCCGCAATCATTTTATCATCAAATATGTCAACACTAAAAATCTATACAAATACATAAACACTTAAATCGATTCTTCTGCATTTTTTCTTGCTTCACTTATTACTTTTGTCCGCATTTACACACTCATTGGGGGTTGGTTTGCACATTCTCGCACATTCGAAAAAACGTACACATTTACAGAATAATTTAAATCGTTTCTTATTTTTTTCTTTCTTGTCGTCAGCCACACACGCCGCATTCGCACACATTGTATTTACTTAAATATACGCACTAGAGTAAATTTGCTTAATGTAATCTTGCATTTCTCTGGTTTATCGCTGTTCGCTATCCAAGTTTTCAACTTCGAGTGTGTTCGATCAAATGTGAGTGGTGTCGGCTGAGCGATTTGAGGAAGGAAATTTATAAATTACAAATCTGGCGGGCTTACAACTTCTGGGAAGAGGGGCGGCGGCGGCAAAGTAGAGAGTAGAAATATAGAATGCATCAAGAAGGAATGCTCTTTTATAAGGATGTAATTTCTGACTACCCACTTGGAAATTGAGCCAACAAAAGTATAAACTTGCTGTTCGAATGCAAAATATTCTCCTAAGTTTCACACACATTTACAATAAATTTAATAATACATTTTAAGTTAAGTGTTTTGTTCGCTTAGCGCTTAGCTACTCTTTTACTTCTTTAATTAAATTAGTTTATAAACCTTATCTCTCTGTATCTGCTTTGTTTCGAATCACCCTCATATCACAATGTTTGTTATCTTTATAATAATTACCACCTAACTCGTTACTTCACTAGATATCTTATCAATCGTACTCTTTTACGTGCTATCGCCTAACTAATTTTGCCTTATCATGTTTATCGCGCTCAACGAAATCGTTTAATTCAACTCATTTGATTATTTGGCTCAATTCACAAGTGGATCTCTGCAGCAAAGCTTACAAGGAAAGAGTGAAACTCCAGTCGACTGATATACGAATAAAATCTCATCTAAGTAAGCATCCAACCATGAATGAATGAAACTAATCTCAAGTATACGCTATCAATGCGGTCATCATTATCGAAAAATTTTAATTTATACACTTGCGTACAAAGACTAATCGTTGCATAATTTGCTTTCATTTCTGTAGCGAACATTGCGCCTCAAACACGTTCGTCGTTCATGCATGATTGATGCTCGATCAATTTTTGTCTAAATATCAATTCAACAATTTAATTGTTTTAATTTGTTTTTTTCTCTTTGCGTGTGTGAGTGTGTCGACTGCACAGCATTTGCGTGTTTGCAATAGTTGCAAAATTTATTATTCGTTTCGTTTTTCTTGAAAAAATTTATATCCAAGGTCACTTTCTCAAAAATATAATTACCTATAATACTTTTTCTTCCTTCAAATTACATTTTGTTTAAAGATTAAAGATTAATGTTAATTACGTTTACGTCGCTTGTTTTCCATTGTTTCCTACACGGACGTCAATACAACGTGGACCCACAGAGTGCCTTGCGTATAGTACGTCCGGGACCAGAGCTTAAAATGCTTTTCATTTTTGTTAAAAGTGTATTGAAGTGTGTATATTATGCGTGTGAGTGTTATGTTGTTGTTGTTTTTTGTTTGTTTTTTGATCGAATTTCATTTTGATTTTGTCCATCCGTGTCCGTCTGACTCGTTTGTTCACTTCGCTACTATACTCGCCCAAAACGCGTTGGGGGAAGTTTTTTTGTATTTCGTTTTTTATGCAATTTATATATAAAACAGTGACATATTTAGCCTAGTATCCGGCGGGGATGTGCGCCATATTTTTTGTATGCACAGTCTTCAGTTAATACTTTTGACACATTCGTACGGATTCTACCTAAACAGCTAATATGACTAAACGTAACAGATTTGTTTTTGTTTTCTCTCTTCTTCCTCTTCTTCATTATGTTTTTCTTTTTTATATACTCGTTTGATCAGCTTTCATCTCTTCTCCTAGTCACCTCCGTGCATTTGATGAGAAATGAATTTGTTTTTATAAATGTTCTGGAAGCACAAATTCATTCGTTTCATTTTTGGTTTCGTTAATTCTTTGTAAAAGAGCTTACAGCTAATCGTTTACAAAAGTATACACGCTTCATACAAAAAATTACTTTGAGAAATAAAAATAAAATTTGAAAAACGAGTTTAAAAAAATATAAACGCGTCTATAGAATTAAAACATAAAATACACAAATAAAACAGGCATAACAGTTGTTAAAATTATTTGCTCTCAACATGTTTTCGCACCGATTCGAAAAAATATTCAATAAACGTTATTGCACTGTAAAATAATTGAATCTATTGTTTAGCTTTCGATCTATTAAAAAAAGAGAAGTTTTTATTGCACAGTTTATCGAAATTCCAAATACTGCTTCGAATCGTTGCGAAAACCAGCATTCAATTTGTTTCGTAGTCGTCCGCACAAATCTCTTACACAAACTAACAAAACTCCAAAATATAAAAATCTCTAATCGTAAACTATAAAAATATAAAAACGTTCTGACTCTTTGTTTGCTCTCGGAATCCTACATACTAATTATGTGTAATTAATCTTAATCATAATAAATTTCGAAAGCAATCAGCGCAAGCCGAAAAAGCGCAAAAGCTCAAAGCCCAAAGCAACAAATCATCATGCAACGCATGATTTCATTTGATTTCATTTGCTACAAATTATTTTTTGTTTGTTTTGTTCCTTCTAATCGTTAATAATTGTTTTATTTAACAAGAAAACTGCGCGTTTCCTTCTAGTATACATCGTGTGTCAAATTTTGTAAAGTTTTCAAATGATAAAATTTCCTAACAACGCCATCATTGCGTCCACGCTTCAAATTTTGATAAATATTTGCCTAGATATATAAATTCTCAACAATTTTGTTAATTTCTTTACGTTTTTTGTGATTTTCCAGTAAATCATATTAATACCGTTCAATGCATTCCAATCTCTAGTCGACTAAATGCTTTAAACGCTATTAATATGATTGACTTGGTAAATCGATTTAATTTCAATTACTGGCCAATAATATTAATAAGTTAATAAGCTTTGAACTCGAGTTAAATGAAACCGCCCGTTTAGAGTCTGCTTAAACTGTAGAAGGGGAATATATTTACACTAAGCCTAAACAACTAGCGCGAATTATTTATAATAATTAAATTGAACACATGTTTGCTTTTATGTATGCCTATCACTACGAGAAACGTTCGAAATGAAGCGGCAGGGGGGGCACGACTTGGTCGCGAAAGCACGTTGTACTTTTAAGTATTCCACAACATCCTCCCACATCCATCTTTGCATATCATACGTAATAAATTTTTTAAAATATAAATCTCTCCTTTTGTTTATACACATCTGCTTTCATATACCTAATATAAAAATGAATTGAATCGAATGTGTGAAATCGATCGAAATTCGAAATATATTAAATCTGTCTGTATCTTTATCTTACATCTTTTAATTTCTTTCCTTTTTTCGTTTTCTTCCTGTAGGAGAAGAGATGAATTAGTGTCCTTGTTGCAAATGTTTCAAAAACGCTAAAAGTTAAACGTTGAGATGTTTTTTTTTTGCATTTTTTCTTCATATTAAATGTAATAATGAATTTGTAATTAATATATAATTAATATAAATGCTCTTCTTAAATGTTAAATTCTTATTAAATGTAATGTTTATGGATTTTCTTCATGCTTCAAATTTTCATCAGCTAAAGTTAGTTGTTTTTTTTATTTCTTTTAATGTAAGTTGTGTACGTTGTGTACGTGTTGTTTTTTTTTTTCTTATTCTCTTAAATGTTAATCTCGTTGGCTCTCTCACGCAGGATGAGCCGAGAACGAAGTCGATCACAGGAATGACCATCACTGATGTAACACATCATCACATAATTTCGAACGTCTCGAATGTGTTGGCATCATTGCACGCTATTAGAAATGCGCTCCTACCGTAGCCATCATTCCGTTGTTCTTGTGCTTATCATTATGTTTTTTACAATATATTGTGTCTTTTCCACAGATTGATGAAACACTCGATGTTCGGCCGTGCTGCGCGCGTCTGCATCTTGTTTTAAGTGTGTTTGTAAATATGTACAATTAGCGGTAACTGGCAGTGATGTGATGGCGGACGCCCTCTTCGCTCCGGAGCGGCACTTCTTCTACGGCGGCGGCGGCGCTTTAAGCGTGACGCTTCATGTGTAGCGCGAGATGATCGGAGCGGCTGAAGCAGCGGTCGCAATGGCGGCACTTGAACGGCTTCGCGCCGGTGTGCTTGCGGTAGTGGCGCGTTAGCTCGTCGGAGCGCGCGAACCGCCATTCGCAGCCTTCCCACGTGCATTTGTACGGCTTTTCACCTGCAATCACAAAGGAAACACGCAAATTAACATCACCATCAGGTAAAACAAGATTATTTTTAACGCCCATAACCACCACGACCTTCCTCAAGTTTCACACAACAAAATGTCACTTAAAATACGAAAATTTATCACTTCTTTGTTCTCTATTGATGAACTGAAGTAGTAGGCGGGACAATCAAATTGTGAGTGCGTTAACTTAAGAGTGTAAAATGTGCACACTCATGTTTTTGCACTTTATTGATTTCCAAGGGTCACAGAGAACGCAATCTATTTTCGTCGTTTTTTTGTTTTTCGTCCTCCGGTTGGGCCATTTCTTTTTTCCTGCTTGGATGGTTGGCTCCTATCGAGCCCGATTTCGAGCCCAGAATGCGAGAATAAGGGAATAAGAGCGGCGGCGCTGTATTTGTTAAATTGCCCGTGCGCAGATAAAGAGTGTGTAACCCTTAAGTACCCTCCTTGTGTCTCCTCATGGCGTCGCATATATCCTCGCCTTCCCAAAACCGACCGTTTTCGACATTGTGCGCCAAGGACGATATAAACTTCCAAGGATGCCTCGCAAACAACTCAACTTACGACAATGAACAATAATGCTAGTTTTTTTTTAGGCAAAACAAACAAAAAACCTCAGCAAAATTGATAGAATAGTGGTTAGAACCCCACTTTGAATCAAATGATGACCACGTCTAATGGTTTCGGCGGTTTCGTCCAATACCGCGAACGCTTCCGAGTTGCGAACCGCTTCGTCCGCAAAGCGACGCTCGAGGAGGATTCAATGGAATGCCCGAAAGTTGAGCGCGCGACGGTTAGTTCTTAAATCGCCCTAAGCCTTTTATAGTTCCGAGGCGTACCGCACAAGTACAGGGTAATGATCGGCACTTCTATTTCAGCTCAAATTGGAAACTGGTGACCAACAAACTTTCAACAGGACTAAACAAATACCTAGTAGGAAATTTAAAGTTCTTTCAACTCGGCAAACAAACAAGAATAATATTTCCACCACAATGCGGATGAAATTGCCGTAACGAATCACGAATTGATACGGAACCACCTCAAGGACCAATGATTTGACTCAAGCATTACAAAAAAAGACGGCACGGCACGCTTAACATTCAGCAAATTCAACGTAAACTAATATAATAAAAAAGTTCGAAGGACCATTTAAAAGTTATTTACTCGATGATGGCAATGCTCGAAGAGTGTGCGGGGAGATGGAATCGTAGCCAATTTTCCTGTCGGCGTGGATGTCAATGCAAGCGTGTGAGTGTGTAATGCTGTGGGCGCGCGCTCGAATAGCGCTCAAGTCGAGTATGTTAGTTAGGCGTGCGGCGAGCGAAATTCTATTTTGAAAGTTTACCGAATTCGAGTACGCGGAGTTGAAACGCGGGGATGGCGGATTTTCGAAAGATACGCACACGGGCACCGCATTCGCACTGACTACACACCGAGCAAAGAGAGAGAGGGTTTGGGTTCTTAGCGCCGTGTTTGGGAGTGAGTTTCAGTTTCGTAATTGAATATGTTACGAAATTTTCTTTGCTTGGAAAGTTTCGTCTGTGAATGCAACGGATAGAGGGTTGTAGAGCAAAGAGGGACGGAAACGTGATGTTCGGTGCGACGCTAAATTCATACGTTTCAAAAATGTTTTGAACACACAAAAATTATGTTGTGACGCATGGGGAAGCAATTTGTCAGCCAGAACAGATAATGATGCGCTAACTTTACCAAGACAGCATATAACCTACGCTTGTTGGATGAATCCTTCAAAGTAAATAGATCATTGGATGCAGAATTTAATTGGCAGCACTATAAATTTTATTGTGAGCACATTCAAAAGCAGAAATATCTAAATGTGCAAAAATAATTATGTGACAATTGTAGGTTTAATCTAGTTCTCTGTTTGGGAATGACATGAAATCTTCCATTTGTATTTTCGTGTACTCCATTGTAATTTCGCTCGATTCTGAACAATTCGGTTACAGCTCTTTATCTCCTCCACGCAAGAGTGATGCAAGTGCATGTTGCATGTTAAAACCAGCAGAGCGTTGCTTTTGAAGCTGTCCACCTTCCCCCCAGAACTCACACTCCACCACTCGACATAGCAATGACCAACACTCGTACCTACATGTCTGCGCTCTCTAGTCTCCACACGCCACCTCCCGATTTCAATTCGGCTCTTTCTGCTTTGCCTCTTCAGGCATGCTGCCTGCCTGCCGCACCGAGTGCGCGGGAATAAAGAGTACACTTTACTGTATGACCGAATGACCGAGGCTGGTCCACACTCGCTTGCACGCGGGCATATCGTTTGATTAGATAGAAGTGCCCGCTCGGCGTGCATTGTATTGTTGGCAAATGTCGATGGTCGACGTTCGATGCATGAGGAAGCAAAGAGGAAAATAGATTTGACCTCGCTCCTCACACCCCTACATCCGCCCTCATCTCAGCATCCTAATACGCCATATCACACTGTATATAAGCGTCAGTGGTATTGATTTTCTCCGAGTTTTAAACTCTTGCAATATTTTTTTTGCTACAAAAATTGCTTTTAATTTTTGGAATCCACCTCGGCCTTCAACCACTACTACTATTACGTCTTTACGTTTTGTTGCAGTTAGCAGACGGCAGAGGACCGGATGAAACACGAACGCATCAATCTTTTCTTCCTGCCCTCCTGTCCGAACCGAAAGGACTTCTAGCGCGCTTTTGTTTCATTACGTGAGAGATTCATCTTGTTCTTCGCGTGTCTGAGCACTGTGCGCGTATGTAATACGATGAGGGAACGGGCTGGCGAGCAACCAAGGTTTCCCCTGAAGCTTTGGGGAAGGAAAACGTTCGTGATTCTCTTCATTTCCTCCCAGTTTCGGACTGGTTTCTAGGGACGCGCTTGAAACTGCAAGCTTTGTTTTTAATTTACGTTTTAATTGTAAAGCATCCCCGCGCGTGCAAGAAAACGCTATTCAATTTCAAAGAAAAACAGCAATCATTACGACTAAGTCTTGAGTAAATTGAGTTGAATTTTGATTACGTGTCTCTAACTGAATTGATTTTGCAAATGTTGCTGAATATATTTTGGCTTTTATGTTCTGGTTTAGTCATGTCTAGACACTTGCATTGTAAGGAACAGGATTAGGATCGGTGTTTATTGCCGTAACCCACATTCCGAGCATTCCCTCGGTCATTCTACGATCGTTTCTTTTCTTCCTTCGCCTTCCCTACTCACACTTCGTTCAGTTTTTTGTGTTGTTGTGTGTATTCGGTGGTCGTTAAACTGGATACGCGTCGCACATCGAAAACACTTTTTTCTTGCCGCGTTCATCCTGGTTTCGAGTTTCTTTCGTGTCGCATTTAACTGCGATTTTTATATCGCCGATGAGATGAGATGATGGTAGATGGCCGGCACCATCAAAGTCCGTCAATACGTGTCCATCACAGGCGCATTCAAGTGTCCCGGTCGGCCTGGTGGACGAAAACAAGCAAAAACCTATAGCTCCATCCCTTCTTGGACGCGACCCCAAATAATTGAAGCTTTTTACGATCAGGCGACACACTCGCCATACTCACACATCCCTTGTACAAGAATATAACCTTTCAAGGATGCGCCACCATCAAAATAATTTTTTACAAAGTTTCGTTTTTAAGTTACGCCAGGAGAATTCGTTGTGCGTGGTGCGTGCGGTAGGACAAAGTCCGCTCCAACGTCCGCATCGATTTTATTTCCCCCACGAGGACCTTCCCGGTCCTTCGGTGCATTGGACACAAGTGGACTCACCGTTTGACCATTGTACACGCACGTATTTGGCGTCGGCGCCGGGGGCGCTGCGATATGCGATCCGACATGAGCGAAGAGGGTACGAAACGCGCACGGGGAGCGGCGGAGGGCCTAAAAGGGGTTGGAGGACTCTCTCGTGAAGAGTGCCTGCCCGCCGGTCAGCTACCGAAATTCCCAAATCCTGTTACGCATCGCGCGCTGCAAAACCCGAATCAAATCTGATTGATGAATTTCTGTCCGCCGCTCTCGGGCAGAACATGCCCGCGGTGTGCGCGGGGGTGGCTTGGTTGGTTGGCGGCCATCTCTTGAGGATATGTCACCGCCACAAATGTTACGCACACATGTAACCACAAAATACACAGCTACAGTGTGGTTTTAGCCAATAAATTTCAAACTAATTTTAAATTCGAAAGAAAACCTTATCCTTCTTACAGATTCAATTTAATTCAATCTTGAAGCTTTAATTATAACATGGATACACTTATCCTGTTCTTAACTCGCTCAACTCGTCTACGCTTCGATGATTTCGCTGGAAATCCGCTGGATGTTCGGGTGTTTGTTTCGCCGATCGCGTTTGCCGACATTTCCATTTGCACGCCGCGACTCGCGCGCCTGGGATTATATTCCTCAAGTGTTAAACTTGTACAATTAATGCGGCCTATTAATTATAAGACCTCGTGGCGCGGCGCGGCAAGCGAGCGAGTTTCAACTTTATTATATGCAGCCGTTTGGCGTGCGGGGGCAAGCCGGGCGATAAAAATCGGCATTATTTATCCGAAAACGCGCCTCCGCACGCTACGAAACCCTCATTTCGGGCGCCTGATTCCTCCGTCTTTTTGCACAACCCCTTCACAAAGTACCCGGTTCTTCGCTTTCGTTTCCTTCCGTTATTAATGATTTAATCCGGCGAATTGTTGAGTAACGTCGAAAGGAACGACGAATATCTTGTTTTTGAATACGCGCAACATGCTGACAGGATATTGTTGATTGTAAGGTTCTCTAGTCCACGAAAATTAGGATACCTGCTGTTTATATTAAGTTGTTTTGTTCGCGCGTCGAGCAGGCTTTAATTGGGCGTCTTGTTTTCACTAAACAACTCAAATTAGCCGCTGTGAGTTTCCAAGAACGAGCAGAGGTAACAGTGAAACAGAAAATTCCCTCAAAGAACATTAGTTTCCACAAGCAGCAAACCCACCATCTTATAACTTCTAACCAAGAAAGAAGAAGTTTTCAT